TCTCCTGATCGATACATGTCCATGCTGTCCTTTTCCTGGGGAGTTCACACATATGCAGACACACACACACACATTTAAATTCTCTTTTGCCTGATACAGCCATTCCTTTATATGGGTTGTCTTCTTCCATCTTTTCACTTTCAGCTCATGTGAGTCCTTAGATAAACCAAGCCTCTTATGGAAAATATATAATTAGAACTTTTAAAAAAATCTATTAAGTCAACATATGACTTTTGATTATAGACGTTAATCATTTACATTTAAGGCAAGAATTGGTAGGAGAATATTGTCATTTAGCTGTTTCTGTAGTCTTAGAAATATTGTTTTCTTTTGTTTTTTGTTTTTTGGTTTTTTGAGACAGGGTTTCTCTGTGTAGCCCTGGCTGTCCTGGAACTCACTCTGTAGACCAGGCTGGCCTCAAACTCAGAAATCCGCCTGCCTCTGCCTCCCGAGTGCTGGGACTAAAGGCGTGTGCCACCACCACCCGGCCAGAAATATTGTTTTTACATTGTGTGGTGTGTGTGTGTGTGTGTGTTGTGTGTTTGTATATGTGGACATCATCGAGGTCAGAATACAACCTGCCAGAATCTGTTCTCTCCTTCTACCATGTGGTTGTTTGAGGGGACAGTCCCCATGGTGGGACAGACATAGCATCCAAAGCTTAAAGGAGCTGGTCTCACTGCATCTGTATCAGGACACAGGGAGATGAAAGCTGAGTGTGTCAGAGCTTCTGCAGTTAAAGCACAGAATGTATGAGACAGTGATTCTACATGGAGGATCTGAAAATGCTGCTATAGCTACAGAAGGGCCACTGAGATGATTTCAAGATAAGAAACAAGGAAGAGCGCCTGGCGGTGGGGGCTCACACCTTTAATCCCAGCACCTGGGAGGCAGAGGCAGGCGGATTTCTGAGTTCGAGGCCAGCCTGGTCTACAGTGTGAGTTCCAGGACACCCAGGGCTACACAGAGAAACCCTGTCTCGAAAAACCAAAAAAAAAAAAAAAAAAAAAAAGAAACAAGGAAGAAAGAACCCAGGCATATCAAAGGAAAGAGAGCATAAACCCATAGGAAAAGATTAGACTCACTTGTGAGCGGCACATGTCTGTCTTAGCTACGTATCTGGGCAATGGGCACACGAGGTTCCTTAAAATTCTGGGTTCCAGAACTGCATGACAATATATTGAAAATGTTGGCATCTAACAAGGTCTTTGAATGTAAAATTCCAAGCGCGTATCCTGCGCACGCTGTGTGCACACAACCCTAAAACAATATGACATTTAAAGAACCATCTTTTGGGGGATTTTTTTTGTCTTGTTTTGTTTTGAGTCAGGGTCTCACCATGTAGCCCTGGCTGGCCTGACACTCACTGTGTAGACCAGGCTGGCCTAGAACTCGAGAGTTCCACATACTTGTGCCTCCAAGATGCTGATAGTAAAGATGTGCACCATGATGCCTGGTCTTTTAGGTCTAAGGCCAACATTTTAAAAGCATTGAAAAGACGATATCGGGGAGCTGAGAAATGGCTCAGTGATTAAAAGCATTTGCTAATGTTCCAGAGGACTCAAGTTCAGTTCCCAGCACTCACGTAGGGCATTTCCTCATGCCTGTAACTCCAGCTCCAGGGACTCAGGTCCTCTCTTCTCCCATCTGTACTCATATGCACAGAAATGGGCACACAGGTACATAAAGAAAAAACAAAACAAATCATTAAAAAGAAGTGTCCACATTTATGAAATTTTTGAGAGAAACTAGGGCAAACAGAAGAGAATGGCCCTTCTGCATTGGAAAGGGGAACAGAATGGCCCTGCCTGGCCAGTCTGTCACTCCTCCTACAGTAAGTACCTGACTCATTAGTTTCAAACTCATTAATATTGTTTCACGCAATTGAGAAATGTTGGGATCACTACAGTACTCAGAAATTCAGGTAGCCAACTGGTACTTTTTAACCCCTCCCCCCGGAACATACCTCCCACGTCAATCAAACTGATTCAACAATTACTTTGAATCTTTAAAATACTCAGACCCAGTAGAAGTTAAGGTAACAGATCCTCTGTGACCAGGTAAGAGGATTAAGCTGCACTTTGTGTTTTGTTTTTATGGCATGCTGTTATTTGTCTGGGATGTAGTTGCTAGGACACTTCATTCTCATGGTGATGACATGAGGAAGACAGATGAACAGGCCCCAGTATCTGCAGGGTCAGAAGGCAGCAGCTGTTCAGACTGCAGGCACGAGACAGTTCCAAACACTTCATTTCTCACCACTTTTCCCATCAGTAGACTGGGATGTAACTGAGGTGGGGGTGGCCATTTCTCTAGCCGGGACCCCATATACACAGATGGCTACTAGAAGCAGCAAACACGTGAGGCACCAAGTAAAGAAATTAGAATGGCTGAGAACAGTAAGAGTTGCTGTTCCAATCAACTGCTTTCTGGATGGTGCTAGCTGCTGTGCTTGCCCGATGCTACCCTTGACGGCTCCTGCAGGAGCTGAGGCACCCATGCTCTGTGCACTGTTTCTCCCCATTTGTAACAGCAGGCAGGCAGCAGTCTTACCATACACTTACTGGGAAGTCCTCCTGTGATACAACGGCCAACTCAGCAAAGAGGAACAATAGGTTGAACTAAATATTTAATTACAGAAGCCAGGCAGAGTGGTGCATGCTCACGACTGCAGTGCTTGGGAGGCAGAGACCAGGGTATCAGCAACTCAGAGTCTTCCTCAGTTACAATGAGTTCAAGGCCAGCCTGGGTATAGGAAGACATAGGCCACAGAAGAAATGATGGGTGGATGTTATAGGAAAATTATGTGAGTATTTGCAGATTTAAGAAACCATTGACCCATAATTCCATATTTGTAAATGTTGTCTTCAAAAGTCTCTGAAATCAGAATTCCTTTTCAAGTTTGATTTGATCTCAAGTTCTTTATATCCTTGGATCTAATTATTAAAATCAATTATCAGAATGAATGGGGTTATTCAGAATTCACAACAAAACCTGTAGTATATTTAATAACGAACTTCTGACCGGGCTTTTATTTTTAAATTTTTACTACATATTAGCGTGCATGTGTGTGTGTGTGTGCATGTTTATATCTATGTGTCTGTGCGGGGACATGTGTATGTTAGTACAGGTGGCTGAGAGACCAGGGTACTGGGTGCCTGTGAAACTGGAGTTATAGGAGGAGGTGAACCACCCTACACTCGAGCTGGGAATTCAACACAGGTCGTCTGCAAGAGAAGTGCACATTCCTACCCACTGAGGCATCTTTCTGGGTCCTTATCTGTGGGTCCCCGGTTGCAGAGGGTGTCCCACGATGATCTCCTGGCTGAGGACAGAGTGAGAGCAGGGAGAGTCTGCTACTGTCTCTGCCGCTGCCTCTGCCCACGTCTCCACTGTCCGTTGGTCTCCGGCCAGGCCTGGTGTGAAAGGTCTGGGCCAAAGGGTACAGAGTGCGAGAGGGGAGGAGAGATTGCCTGTCCCCACTGCTGCCTCTGCCCAAGTCTCCGCTGTCGCCGCTTGGTCACTCCCAGGTGCTGCACCTGTCTCTCAGGGCTGAACCGGCCTGGGGCAGATAGGAAGCCGGCTAGGTGGCGAGGAAGCAGCTTGGTGCCCCAGGAAGGTTCCGGGAGAGCAGATCTCTCCCCAAGTTACAGCTCTTTCGACAGAAACTCTCAGACACCAGGATGGTTCTTGAACACACTTTTACTTCTCCAGAATAGAGCCCTTATATACAGTTTCAGGGTGGGTTAGGGTCTGGCAGCAGATAACGCCTATTGGCTTGGTCTGAGAGCTTGGAGATACCTCATCTACATGTGGGAGAGCCTGAGGCACTGTTCCTCGTGACAGATGGTCATAGACCTCTCTTTGGGAGGGGCTGTGGAGGGCCGATGCTGAATGAAAAGAACCAGGGCCTGGGGGCAAAAGTTGAACACCTGCCGTCCAGATAATGGTCCGGGGTTCAGACTTGCTCAACTAGGTACCCAGCTGCTTCTCCCAGCCCAGCACCCCACACTTATCTTCCTAAATTCCTAATGATACAGTGATTATACCAAACTCAGAGCTGCCTCTCCAAAGAATTTTTGTCCATAATACATCATGAGGATGACTATCCAGAGGAGGAGAAAAGGTACTGTACAGCCATGTACGGGCTTCACAAACTGACAGTAATGGTCTGGTAAGTAGTGTTACTATGCAATAATGCACAGCACATAAGCTATAATCTGGAGCGCACAGCATTGTGGCTAGTAGCAATTCTGTGAAGAACAAAGTCCCATCCTTCGGAAGGTCCTTTCAACAGTGCTTTAGCATATTCTGCAGTGGCTCTCAACCTCATTAGACAAGGAACATAACAGAGTTCTCCAAAAAGACTCAAGTGTGGAGTAGGCCACAAACAAGAGCACAGAGCTGTCTGACCTATTTGGTCTACAAAGGCTCCCTGGCAACAGTGTCTGAAAATCTGGACACTACTCTCATGTGAAGAGCTTTGAAAGTCAGTTCCAAGTTGGGCGGTGGTGGTGCACACCTTTAATCCCAGCACTTGGGAGGCAGAGGCAGGTGGATTTCTGAGTTTGAGGCCAGCCTGGTCTACAGAGTGAGTTCCAGAACAGCCCGGGTTATATAGAGAAACCCTTTTCCAAAAACCAAAAACCAAAAAAAAAAAAAAAAAAGAAAAGAAAAGAAAGAAAAAGAAAAGAAAAAAAAGAAAGTCAGTTCCAGAACTGTGCCACAGACATAAGTACATTTTCTGCATCATTTCCAGGCGCTTCTGAAGTATACCTGATGTTAAAAAGCCAGTGCGTGCAACTGGCTGAGTTGACGGTCTCAGGACTGAGGCATCAATAACTTCATTCTGTCTCCAGATTCTATGACAGGAGACAGTAGACCCTATCAGGACCAGTAAACTGTATCACTCGGGTGGCGGTTTAATTCAGAGAGTTCTTTCTTGACTTTGTCACGGATGGACATGGGGTGGAGAAGAAAGGTAGGGCAGTCAGACAAGAGACATTTTAGGATACGTTTAATAAAATAACCCACTCCTTCAAACCCTCTTTTCTACATGGTAAGACAGTGGAGAGCAGTCACAAGTGGAATTCGCTTAGGCCGAGGCTAAAAGGAAAGATACACAGGATGGAGAAGGCTCAGGATGGAAAACCACAGCACTTCCAGGCACTTCCAAAATTAAGGTCAAAGGTTGATGAAAGTAAATTAAAAAAAAATAATTACACTATTTTTCCAGTGACTCATTAACTTCCACATGGCAGTACAGGTTCCAGATTCTTATGTGTATTTCAAAGATATAAATGCATAAGGCAATGTTCTTTCAGTGCTGGGCACCTAAACCAGGGTACGGTACACCTGAGGTAAGTGCTATCACCGGGCTATGCCTTCATCTTAAAGGTGTAAATTTATATGATTTTTTTTTGTAAAAACAATTTTTTCCATGCTTTCTAATGTGATAAAAAAAAAATAGATGTACCCAGACAATGACGTTATTAACTGGGAGAAAGGATGAAAGGCATGGAGAAGCAATGCCTGCATTTCTTCACAGTTGTGACTAGATAAATAATGGGAGACGTTCAGGATAGTTAGTTCTTTGGGCTTCCATGTGTATGGGTTCAGTCATTTAAAGCAGGTCTAACTTTGGGGCAACTGTCATAGTGGTTAAGTATCTGTACAAGTGGGGACCATTTTAAATTGTCAACACACTGCTTTTAGAAGCTGAACAGTAACATTTTACAGAAAACATCGGATGTTTCATTTCGGCTGCAGAGGCCTACGGCACCTCTGTTGTTCGTGAAGCTTCACCCGGAGAGGATGGATGTGGACAACGTGTATGCACTTTCCCCTTCCAGTGGAAAGACGTCAGCTGCTAAGGGAGCTGAAGGGAGCCCGTGGTATGCCGCCACAGCGGAGCGTGGGAGGAGCCGGCATTCCCAAGGTCCCGAATTTATTATTCACTGAAGAAAAACCTTCACATCGAAAGTTTGGCTGGTCTCACCAGTATCAACTGGTTGGGAAGGAAAGACAGCTCACTCTCTGGGCCAAAACCCCGAAGCAGCTGTTGGGAGCAGGAGGGCCACCAAAACCGAGGAGAACAGATTCACGGCGTTGTTGTCCAGAATGGGCTTCCCTGCGATGTGCTTGGTCTCCTGCGTTGGGGTACTGACCACCAGGCCCGTGCTCTCATCCAGACCTGAAACGGAGAAGCAGCGCACGATGTAAAAGATAAGGACGACTGTTAAGAAGAACACACTTTCCTCAAAGGAGAGAATCTTTGTGACATTCTCAGTGCCTTGTACAGAGACTTGGGGGAGAGTTGATATAGTGTTATATATTTAAATATTTTTATTATAAAACACTCCCCCCTACACACACACACACACACAGGTGGACTTTACGACACCTCAATGGTGGTCTCTCATATCTATGGAGTTGCTTTAGAAATGCAAGGCCTGGCTTCCCAGTGGTTCCTCTCGGTGAGGTCTGACAGCTGGGATCACATCTGGCCTCAGAACTGCACATCAGGGCCCAGTATGGTGTTGCTGCAAAGGAGGCTGTTAAGACTCCTTCTATGCGTCTGCTGTAAGGGAAGGCTCAGTGCTCAGTATTGAGAGGTGGGGTTAGGGAACGTGTTCGAGCCTGAGTGCTGCTCTCTCCTGAGTCAGACTGATGACCTTCTAAAGAGAGGCCGCAGAGGGCCGCCGGGCTCTTTGCCCACAGGAGGACATTTGCTGGCTTAGAGGCCAACAGTAAGCCATCAATGGATCCTGCATCTACGAAGGGCTTTGTCTTAGTTTTGCCCTTGATAAATTACGTATCCCTGGTATTTTAAAACTAGAGGAGAATAAAACACAGGCATGTTAAAACCGACACATGTATTTTCTTTTCGTGTGTGTGTGTGTGTGTGTGTGCACGCATATGTGTGTACGTGCATGCACAGGTCTGTCTGTAGCACAAATGTGTTGGTGCACATGGAAGCAACAAGAAGTGAGATCCCTTGCCGGGCGGTGGTGGCACACGCCTTTAATCCCAGCACTTAGGAGGCAGAGGCAGGCAGATTTCTGAGTTCGAGGGCAGCCTGGTCTACAGAGTGAGTTCTAGGACAGCCAGGGCTACACAGAGAAACCCTGTCTCGAAAAACCAAAGGAAAAAAAAAAAAAAAAAGAAGTCAGATCTCTTGCAGCTGGAGTTAGGGCTGTGGGCAGCTCGTTGTGGGTGTTGGGCTGTTGACTTTGGTCTGTTAGGACTGATAGAGCAGAAACATTCTTAACCCTGAGCTAACTCTCCAGCCCCCACAAGTCATAAGTAAAAACTTACTGGTGGCAGCTAAGGGCTGTGCACCTATAGTGCCTCAGCCTAAGAAGGCTGAGGCAGGAAGAAAGCTTGAGCCCAGGAGTTCAAGGTCAGCCAGGGCAACATAGCAAGAACTCAGGGTGAGGCCGGAAAGTCATGGTGGGGATAACCACTTCGGGGGAAGCAGGCCATTCATGTGGTCAGTATAACAATTACCAAACGCACTTGGCAAAACCGACGGAAAGAGGTCCACTGAAATGATCCGATCCTAGTGGCCTGCTCTCCTAGATTAGGAGCCATTAGGTGACGGCTCAAAATCAAAGCCTGTTTCTTGCACTATGAATCCTGCTCCTGAAGACTTGGGAATCCCTCTGGATTGGTTTACCACCAAAGAATAAGAAGATCAAAATTACGGTGGTGATTCCCAGTCACTTCCAGCCCTTGGGGTTGGTTTCATGGGTACGTTTAAAAACGCCTTTCATATTTCTTTCCCATTTCTGGAAAAAAAAAAAAAGGAGCAGTTACAGTAAGGCACTGTCTTACCAGAGAACTGCATTGTCGCTCCTAGCAACGAGTCCAGGATTGATCCGAATAACCCAGCCAGACCTCCAAACACAATGATGGGCCACTGTGGGGCAGAAATGTCCAAGTCGTTCACAAACACCAACTGTGTGAGGAAGTACGCCAGGCCCACGAAGGTTCCACCGAGGAGACTGGAGGCAAGTCCCACTGCTGTGACTCCTCCGTTAGTTCCTGAGGGAGAAAGGGGTATCAAACCATCTGGTTAGTAGTCAACCAGCAAATGAGGGATAGTGAGGAAAACAAACAGAATGAAACAGAACCCACACTGGGACAGGCCTAGTTAAAATAAAATTAAAGAGCACTTCTCTCTTAAAAAAAAACAAAAAACAAAAACAAATAAACCAAAAACCAACCAGCCAACCAACCAACCAACCAACCAACCAACCAACCAAAAACCAACTAATACATAGGCTGGGCTGGAGATATAGATTCTTTGTTGTATGCATGAGATCCAGGGCTCAACTCCCAGACCCCCCACCTCCCACTCCACACACCACACACTCCCGACCCCCTGTTGCTAAGAAACAAGAATCAAAAACCTGCTTCATGAACGTTTCCCACACGGAACACTGGTACTTGAACACATGCCTACACTGCTTAATATTCAGATCACCGAACCCACACTTACTGCTCAAAGTCTCATCATTCTTCATGGTGAAAGCATTAAAAAAAACCCTCATTTTCTAGCTTTAAAAAACTCCGCGTTATCCCAAGTAGTCACCTTACTCCAGATGACACTCCCAGAACCCGCTCTTGGGCAGAGTCCCCACTGTCAACCCTTCCTCTTCTTTCTCTCCTCTCCCTAGCCTTGGGTAACCACAACCTCTACCCTCAACCTCCGTGACCAACTAGTGTACCGGATAAGGCACAGCAAGGTCATGCTGTAACTGTTAGGACGAGGTCTCTAGGCTGGGAGGTAGCACTTGCTGGGAGTGAGTGATGGCTAATTTTAATTATCAACTTAACCACATGTCGAGTCAGGTGGGAGGTGCCTGGATGAAACAGGATCTAGATCAGGCTGGCCCATGGGCCTGTCTGTCAGGATTATCTTATCTGGGTTACAGTAACTGAGGCAGGAAGCCCTGTACCATGCCCTGGGCTGGGACCCTGGACTGTCAGAAGAGTAGAGAAAGCCAGCTGACCACCAAAGGCGCATGTCGTGCTAATGTCTGGCTCTCTGCTCTAGACTACAAATGTTACAGGACCAGATGCTTCTAGTTCTATGCTGCCTGTCTTCCCTGTACTGATGGACTGTGACGTGGGTCTGTGAGCCAAACAAACCCTTTCTCTTTTATGTTTCCTTTGTCAGGGAATTTTTCCTAACAACAGAAAGTGAATCTAAGACACTAACATGTACAGGATTTTGATCCCTGGTATCACAGGAGTAAAATAAAATGATAATTCTATTTCATATAACCTGTTAACAGCCTTCTTTCCACATACTTTAGATATAATAATCACTACACTGAGCATGGTGGCACAAACCTTTTATTCCAGTACTCGGGAGGTAAAGGCAGGTGGATCTCTGACCTCAAGGCCAAGCCTGGTCTACAGGTTACACAGAGAAACCTTGTGTTCAAGGGAAAAAATTACTAATACAATGTGTCTTAGTTAGGGTTTCAATTGCTGCAAAACACCATGACCGAAAAGAAAGTTGGGGAGGAAAGGGTTTATTCAGCTTACACTTCCAGATCATAGCCCATCATTGAAGGAAATCAGGTGAGGAACTCAAACAGGGCAGGGTCCTGGAGGCAGGAGCTATAGAGGCCATGGAGGGGTGCCGCTTACTGGCTTGCTCCCCATGGCTTGCTCAGCCTGCCGTCTTATAGATCCCAGGACCACCAGCCCAGGGATGGCCCCACCCACAAGGGTTGGCCCCTCCCCCATTGATTACAAAGCCTTACAGCTGGATCTCACGGAGGCATTTCCTCAACGACTCTAGCTTATGTCAAGTTGACACACAGAACCAGCCAGGACACAGAGCGAAGTTTCTATACAATATTGTTTAGCGACCAATCATAAGGATAAAAAAGGACTGTAAGTGTTCAGTAGAGACAAAATTCTTCTCTCTCTCTCTCTCTCTCTCTTTTTTTTTTTTTTCGAGACAGGGTTTCTCTGTGTAGCCCTGGCTGTCCTGGAACTCACTCTGTAGACAAGGCTAGCCTCGAACTCTCAAACTCAGAAATCCCCCTGCTTCTGCCTCCCAAGTGCCGGGATTAAAGGCGTGCACCACCACCTCCAGGCAATTCTTCTCTTTTTTAAGATTTATTTTCTGTGTGGATGTTTTGCCTACATACACGTCTGTGCACCGCCTTGTGCTTCATAGCCCAAGGGGCCAGAAAAGGGCACCAGATCCCCTGGAACTGGAGTTGTAGATGGTTGGGAGCTGGTAGGTGGGTGCTGGGAATCGAACCTGGGTCCTCGGGGACAATAACCAGTGCGCTTAACCGCTCAGCTATTTCTCCAGCACCCCTCCACTGAGACTCATTTTTGGTTTATCCATGTTTTGTTTGCACATCTGTCTGTGCGCTGTGTGTTAGAAGTGGAGGTCAGATCCCCCTGGAATTGGAGGTACAGATGACTGTGAGCCATCATGTTGGTGCTGGGAACCGAACCAAGTCCTCTGTAAGAACAAGCACCCTTAACTGCTGGGAAGTCTCTCAAGCCCCCTAAAACTGTTTTCTTTAGATATGTTAAATCCAATGTTGACTGAATCTGTAGATTTTGAGGGCAAATTATGTTAAAGACAAAATTTGTCCTCAATACTTTATTGTCCCTTTTTTTTCCCATTGCTCTGTGGGTCAGTCTCTATGTTCCTTTATTATGTATCTAAGTCTTATTAACATTCTCTATAGATACCATTTATTATCACCAATTTAGCAATTTTTCGATTGAGAAGACCAAATACAAACTTTATAAGGCTCTTAAGGAAAACATTAACTGAAGAGGTTTTGTTTCTAGTTTGTAATTAGCAAACTCAAATCAGTACTCACCAGCTGGGGCTGAGGAGATGGCCCTATCAGGAAGGCGATGGCCATGCAAGCATAAGGACCTGGGTTCAACTCCCAGAACCCAGGTAAAAAGCTGGGTGTGATCACACATGCTTTTAATTCCAATACTGGTGAGACAGGCTTGTCCCCTTATCTCTGTTTCTCAAAAAACAGAGTGGATGGCTTCCTAAGAAATGGCACCCAGAAGCCAACCTTTGGTTTACAAGGGTATGTAAATGCAACACACACACAGACACACACACACAACACACACTCACCAACTGGAACTTTCTCCCAGGTTGTTATTAGTCGAGGTGAGCTTTTGCTCAGAACTGGACCAACTTCCGAAGCCCAGGTGTCTCCAGCAGAGCAGGCCAGTGCAGCCAGGAGAGACAAACACATCCAGGAAGCAGTGTGCTGCTTGGAGAAATCTATGGGCATTTCCCCGGGGCCGTTCTCTATCATGTAGAGCAGGGCCAGCTCTGTAGGCACCGCTCCGTTACAGAACACCTGCACCCAATTCCGTTGTCCTCCTGGACACAGGTGAGCACATGGGAAATAGAAAGGGGGAAAAAACATTCAGCTGTAGGAACATATATTTTTTAAATTTCACAAAAGAAAAGTTAGCTTAAAAAAAGTAGCAAGGCATCTTTGTCCACATTATATACCATTATTAATAAGCCCAGAATAATTAACAGTAGACTTGAACTAAAATTCTGTAATTATTTGTTATTGGGATAAAAGTAATAATGAATTCAATTAGGCTCCAGAAGTAATTCTTTTTTTTTTTTTTGGTTTTGTTGTTTTTTGTTTTTTTGTTTTTTTTCAAGTCAGGGTTTCTCTGTGTAATCCTGGCTGTCCTGTAGACCAGGCTGTTCTGTAGACCAGGCTGGCCTCGAACTCAGAAATCCGCCTGCCTCTGCCTCCCGAGTGCTGGGATTAAAGGCGTGTGCCACCACCGCCCCACCCCTTCATCTATTCTTATAGCCTGCCAAGTTCTGATCAAAGCTTGGGTTAGGATGAAACAGTCCCTCGGTTTCCGGTGATGTCAGAGGTAATCGACTTTACCTTCCTTATATTCCGAGTCCAGACGCTTCTTGACTGCGCCTCTCCATTTTGTGAGTTTTGAAGATGAAAGGAAAAACATCAGCAAAGAGGTAAAAAAGCTGAAATTTGCAATGGTTAAGATGAATCCGACCACCAGCCCTGAAAGAGACAAACATAAACACACAGGACTTAGTCCAGCGTTCCATCTGATGGATATTTCTACCACACGCTCACTGTTCCGACTCAGGGGCCCAGGAGCAGTAAACCGAAGGCCATTTTAACTGATAATTTTCAAACATGTCTCAATCTCCTTTCAAATACTGACGTAAGATCATTTAAGACAACCTTTTTTTATACTCAACTAGAAGAGAATGACTGAATTATTAGGTCATAAACATGATACACACAGTCAGAAAAGTAGGCCAATCTGCAGATTTCTCTTTTGTCATATGTCGGTAGCTCTTTCTGGGGAGAAGAGATTAGAGTTTTACAGGTTTATATCGTTTGCATTTCCTCCCTTATATCTTGGGATTCTCTTTTAAGATGATAATTCAAAAGAAGCTAAGCTTTTCAAGCCTCTCAAGAACTTTTATGACTGTGACTTTTAGATTTTTATACTTTTCTCTGGTTTGGGGCAGCCCTTCACTTTTCAAAGGGTGACCCATTTCAAGGAAGCATATAAAACCCTCACCTCAATCAGATACAGGGAGCTTACACCCGGCACAGAAAGGGTTAATAAAACCAAAGGACAGATGCACTCTCAGAGCACTGTGGAAAAACTACTGAAATCAATTCCTAAACTAAGCTGATGGAACATCACACTTAAAGAAGCTCCCGGGTTGGGGGGGGGGTAGTGGGGGTGGGAGTGGGGCTGGAGAGATGGCTCAGCAGTTAAGAGCACTGACTGCACTTCCAGAGGTCCTGAGTTCAATTCCCAGCAACCACATGGTGGCTCGAAACCATCTGTAATGGGATCTGATGCCCTCTTCTGGTGTGTCTGAAGACAGATACAGTGTATTCAGATAAATAAATTTAAGGAGGAGGAGGAAGAGGAGGAGGAGGAGGAGGAGGAGGAGGAGGAGGAGGAGGAGGAGGAGGAGGACTTGTTGCTATGGGCTGTAAGTGCAAGCAAGTAGGAGCGGGAAGTAGCTCACAGGTACCATGCTTATCAAGTATGCAGAGCTCAAGACCCAGGCCCTGATCCCAGGGTGGGCAGGTGTCAAAGTCTCTCCAGGTAATCACAGGAAAAGTGTAAACAAATCCAGGATGGGGCTTTTAAAAACCACCCTGATACTAAAACGTCTAGCTCACTGACTTTGAGAGTATTTTGGTGGTGAGAGTAAAAAGACAGCTTCATTTGTGTCACGACAGTCGGCTAATCCTACAAAAATGAGGTTTGGCTCGGATTTTTTTTTTTTTTTGAGTAAATGGGCAAAATAAGCATCTATAGAATAACAGCAAAGACAAAAACCTAACGAGGTGTTTGATGAAAAGTCACCCAAAGTGAGCAAATGAAGCTAAATCAGGGTGTACTGGCTCTCAGCACATCCTAAGTTCAATGGAGAAGTACCTCCCATCTGAAGAGAGGATGCACCGAGAGGCAGGTATCTCTTATGACAGGCCATTTCTAAAGACCTTTTCCTTTCTTGGCACTGTCGCTATTGATTACAGTCACTCCTCTTTTTTAAAAGGGCGTGATGATTTGGCATGTACACATAAAAGATTGGGGAAGGGGGTGTCAGGACCCTGACACCTGTCTGTGTAACACAGAACCTCATGTGAACACGCAAGAAACCAAACCATGGAAGATGCCCTCACCATGAGGAGCTTGATGTGTCTTTCTGGAGTGTCTTTCCTATGGGTGACCCGGTTCCTCAAAGTGTCACATCTGAAAGTATCTGATGGCCATCCTCTCCTCACTGGTGACTGAGATATTCGTATTTTTGTTGTGCTAAGGAGGGTGTGACGCTTGCTGAGCCCTGCCCAAGGGAGAGGACTCCTAACCTGTAGACTTATGTTAGACTTATGTTAATGTTTCTCTGAGACTGTGGTCATCAAAACAGCTTCTAATGATAGCTGACTTCTCACACACACTAACTACAAGAACTGGCATGCCTGGACAGATGACATGTATTCCCATCCGCCTGGTATTTCTGCATGTTAGCTGATTAATAAAGTCGTAATTAATCTCTATGACGACAGACAGCATTCAGTTTCTCTTCTTGGCCCCAATCAACTCAAAATGGAGGCTTCTCCCTCAGGAAGACAAGTCAGACCTGAGCACAGTGACAGAAGTCGGTAGGACCAAGCTTGTGGGGATGCTTACACTGCCCCTGGCCTTTCCTGACACCTCTCCTTGCCCCGTGACCTTTTCTTCTGCACACAGCATCTCCAGAGAGGCAGGGCTCTGGCAGGATCATGTTTGACTTTTGTTATCTGTCTTCTGTGAGGAGAAATGGACGTTCTAGGACAGCATGTGAACCCGCTGTGTTTACTGTTCCCAATATCACAGTGTCCTGAGTACCCACAACACTGCCTGCCACTCATGGTCCCTTTCATTGCTCAGTTACTGAAAGTGGAGGGAGAAATGGCTAATCATTAAGTCTAATTATCTAGGCCAAGGAAATGAAATTGAAACTCACCAAGTCAAAGGCCGAATAAACTCTCCATAGCTAGACAGAACACAGCTATGCTAACAATGACTGGACACTACTTCCTTGGAATAAGTCCCCAGTATAGAGTCCTATCCTTCCCTACTCCCTCCACACCACTCCGAGGCTTCTTTTTCAGTGTGTATCTCATGCTCTGTCACCTCCACACACTAAAGTACTTCTGGGTCGGAAGGGTTCTAAATATCTCAGTATCTTCTGTAATGCTTCCCTCTTAATAACAGGCATACTCAAAGTATGATATACCCAGCCTGAATGAAAATGTGGCCGGCAGCATGAGAAGCATTCTACACAGGGAACTCTTTGGAACTCAGTGCTAGATATAACCACAATTCCTTTCCATGGACAATTGTAACATGGAAAGTTTAAGTGAATGACAGATGACAGAAAAGTATTTCCAACTGTTATAATACACTTCGCATCGGTGTTACATTTTAATCCTTAAAGAAAGCGAGCTCCAAACTGAAACATCTTGTGGGGTGAAAAAGATTAGGAAAAGGGCCAAGACTTTTAAATCAGTGGACGCTTACTTCCTGTGCACCTATTTTGTGCCAGTCGTTACCCAAAAAAACCATGGATATCAACTGTTAGCTCTCAAGGCATGTATCATCTACTAAGTTTATCCCAAGCAGACCAAGGAGCACGCCAACAGTACCAGAATGTTCTACAGAAGTGGACATACTTTTGTCAAAGAAAGTAAGTGAATGGGCCGAAGACAGCCTTCATGTGGTAGCGTGTTTGCCCAGCATGCACAATGTCTTGGGTTCAATCTCCAGTAGAAAGCTGAGCCTGGTCATGCATGCCTGTAATCCCAGCTCTAGTACTGATTATGGCTTATGATAATAATAAAAGCCGTGTGTCTCTTATCCCAGGGAACTGAGTGATCTCAGAACGGGTAGAAGCCCTGACTGAGATTAAATATTATAGACAACATTCTATGGGACTCCCAAAGGTGTCTATAAAATGGGTCACTTTTCCATAACTGCACTACCACCTACCAGGCAAGGATCAGGTCAAAGGCACCGGTACTGAGCTGACCTGTTCCAGCCCAGTGCTCCACATATGCAGAAAGTACATTTAGTTCAGCAATACAGTCCAGTGTGAAGGCACAGACTCTCCAGAAGAGACTGAAGCTCAAGGCAGGTCAAGATATGAGACCAGATACACTGTTAAATAACCTGGAGTCTTTAGGGAGAGACATTCATCTCATTGTACAAAAATAGGGAGACATCTTTAAAGTTACCTACTGTAGTTTATGATATAGTGAATATACATAGTGTGTGTGTGTGTGTGTGTGTGTGTGTGTGTGTCTTCATGTGTAAATTTTTGCCAGATTCTTTTGTAAAATTTTTATGGATCTGCAGCTTTCAAAAACAAACAAACAAACAAAAACAACAACAACAAAAACTTTTCACCATGTTTCTGGCCCCCAAAGTTAAGAAAACATATTCCAGGAAAGTTTTTAACACCCCCAAATCCAAAGAATCATGTCAGCTATTTTGCTCCATAGTTCACAGAAATAACATTAATGGGCTTTTAAATTTCTGGATCTATTTTCAGGTTGTTATCTGAACCAAGTTATCTTTTAATAGTTAAATTAGCTGATGCAAATTGGAAGGTATAAACTCTGCATTTGACTGATTAAAATAGAGTAAATCAAAACAAAACAAATCCATATTTACTCTGAGGAAAAGCAATATCTAAAATTTAAATTTCAAAATAAAAGAAAATTTCTGCCTTCAGGGCTTATGCTATACCCGACAACAAAATTTTTGGCCTACATTTTTCTAAGAGAAACATATATCTAATTATCCTACTTTGTCCCTTAAGTTAATAACTTCATAATTTGTTGGCAATGTTTTAGATAAACTGACATTTTTTAACAGAAAAAAATACATTAATTTAGCAAAGAAAACTTATATATCAGCCTTATTTTTACAGAATTAAAAATATTTGTTTTATTAAATATTAAAATTTTAATAAGTTAAAATAATGAATTTAATAATTTTAATATTTTACTTGAGTCTTAGAAGCCAGTTTTTTTTCTAATGAGACACAGAAAGGGGGTGGATTCATATGGGAGGAGAGGGGAAGGGGCACTGGGAGTAGAGGGAAGGGAAGCCATAATCAAGATATGTAAGTAAGAAGAAAATTCTGTTTTCTTTCTTTTTTGTTTGTTTTTTTTTTTGTTTTTTTTCGAGACAGGATTTCTCTGTGTAGCCCTGGCTGTCCTGGAACTCACTCTGTAGACCAGGGTAGCCTCGAACTCTCGTACTCAGAAATCCGCCTGCCTCTGCCTCCCAAGTGCTGGGATTAAAGGCTTGCACCACCACTGCCCGGCGAAAAATCTATTTTCAATAAAATAAAAAAAAATGACTATGATTCTTCATTAGCAGATAATGCAGTCTTTATAAATCTGCTGTACATACCAATATCTACATAATATACATATGAGACACTAATGGCAATCTATTTTTGAACAGTGTATGG